TTTTTTTTTTTTTTTTGAAGAATTTATGAAACTAATGAAGAGAAGGAGAGGGAAATGACACAGTAAGAAGTATTTCCGGTTCGAGAATGTCCAATTAGGTCGGCCCTTCACATTTCGCCCTGCTCTATTATTGTCTATTTATATTAAATCTGTAATAATATCTTCATGAATTGATAGTGCCTCATTTTTTTTAGGACGATTAATTAAACTTTTTTTTAGTATTTTTAGCAACGATTGATTTATCGATGCTTGTAGAATTTTGTTAATATAGATTAATTAATTTTTTATTGATTTGTGTAATATATCATTGAATAATTAATCGCAGATTATGAATGATTTATTATTTATTTAATTTTACCCTTTATCTTGCAGCTTAAGATGACGGTGACTTTCAGACATTTCATACTTTACATTTAACATCTATGTATACTTTTTATGTATTTTATATTTCAGACAAACAAAACAAACAGAACTAATTATACTTAACTTTTTTTTTCACTCTGTAAGCTACTTTATATCATTCAATCTTATTTAATCTGTGTAATCTGTATCTTTGTAAAATAATAATGGACTGAGAGACACTTTTACAAACTGTGAAAAATTTCTGCTAAGTTAAACTGAAACTTTTTTAAATTTCATTTTTTGTTATTAAATAGTGAACCATCAAACTATCGAACTAAGCAAATTTATCTTTTTCCTCTATTTATTTCTTCCTTTCTCTTTCCACTATTTATCTTCATTGTTTCCAAGTTCCATTCTTTCCCTTCTTTCCTTACAAACTCTTTTTTTCCAGTTCATTTTTGTTGCTTTACACTTTAGAATATGGAACGTATTTTTTTGTGCTACCTGGCATATTCTATACCTCCTATCTTCCTTTGTTCAATAGTTCTCTTTTAGTGAATTATGTAGTTAGAAAACTTTTAGACGATTCTACCGGTTGAGTTAATCACAGATTGATGGAACCCGCTCTTTTAAAATACGGTTAACGATTGGCAACATCAATGAAGTGACGCTGCGACTGAATGTTTTATAGTTAAATACATCGCAAGTGCGTTGATATAAATATCCTACGAATGGCCTTGAATCAATTTTCCAGGCAAGATACAAAAGAATATCTGAAAAAAGAACATGAATCTTATTTGACTTAACTGCGTAATAAAATGTGTTCGAGTCCGGGATTGCATGCGGAGAAATCTAAAGACAAATCTAGAGACGGAAGAGAAAATTGTGTTACGTTATTTATAAAGTTAGATAAAAGATTTGTTTTCGAGTTTCAGTAATAGTTTTGAAACATAAATCTACTTTTTTTGTGACTTACAAAGAGTTCGATTTCATATAAGGTGAGAGATTCAAATTTCAAAACTATGCTAGTCTATATGAAAGATATATTGGCAATGCATTCTGATATATGTAGATGTAAATGAGATGTTTTTTTTTTACAGCATTAAAATATATTTGCAGGATTATCTTAAATAATTTATATTATGAAGTGAAAAGCGAATTAACCGATAATAATGATTGTTTTCAGAAATGCACCAGTCAGGCAACACTTAAAGAATGTGTATGGTTGCCTGTCCCTGTCCACCGTATCAGCGGCTGCTGGAGCTTACGTGCACATGTACACGCAATTTCTGCAGGCCAACCTGCTGACGACCATCGGCACCCTAGGCCTCCTCATTGCGCTGATGACGACACCTGACAATGGCAAGAATCAAAAACTGCGTCTCAGTTACCTCTTGGGATTTGCATTCCTATCCGGTCTTGGTTTGGGGCCCTTGCTTGAGTTGGTGGTCAGCATAGACCCAAGCATTGTAATAACAGCATTAGTTGGTGAGTCAATTGTATTGATCTAACTATTTTGCGCTGTTTCCAGCATTTTAATCATTCGTCTTGAGATAAGGCACTGCCCACAATCGATTACATTAATTCAAAATTAATCAACTTGGTCTAAAGTTCAAGTAAAATTGATTTCGTCCAAGTCCACTTTTACGTATACAAGACTCGAAAAACAAATCGTTGAGTTAAGAACTTTTGTATATTTATAGAACATTTTATAAAAGGTGATAAGATACGTTAGATAAATAATCAATTAAATCAGCAATGCGCAACCTACAACCTACCTATGAATTTTTTGCAGTCAATCAACTCGTAATAAAAAATATAAAATCATATTTTTTTATTTTATGCAAACGAAATGAACACATGTGTCTCGAAAAATTTTACCTAAAAGTAGCTCTCTGAAAATGACCTTTAAAAAAGATTGCGCATCCGTTACATTAAACTATCACGAAATGAGAATATTGATCTAAAATAATATCTAAACTATCTATTATTATCTATAAAAAAAAAACTTTAGCAGAAGCATTTGTTTCACATAGAACAAATACAAATATGTTCTATATATTCTTTCTATGTTAATATAATTCGATATACAATAATTATACAATAAAATGTTTACAGGCACGACGCTCGTCTTCGTTTCCTTCAGTATTTCTGCGCTTTTGGCTGCACGTGGCCAATGGCTGTTTCTTGGTGGCACTTTAATGAGTATGCTGAATGCTATGTTCTTATTCTCCTTCATCAATCTGTTCTTGCGCTCGACCTTCCTCTATCAAGCACACTTGTATGTGGGATTATTCGTTATTTGCGGCTTCGTTATTTACGACACGCAACTGATCATCGAGAAGTATCACATTGGTAGCAGGGACTTCATCATGCACTCCTTGGATCTATTCATCGACTTTGTAGGCGTTTTCCGACACCTCCTTGTGATACTTACGCAAAAGGTAAATTACCTATTTGATGAATTAACTACTACTTTGATATCTCTTAAAATTGTCGCGTCGTTTTTCGCTGATGTACGAAAGGAATTTTTAGCAGGTTATTCCTTTAATTTCAAAATTAATTGATTATTTAGGATATAATTTTTTCATCGGTTTAAAATAACTCGTGTAAAAGAAAATAATACAAATTAGAAAGAGTAAAATCGATAACTGCTGTGTTGTCGGTGTTTACGGGCTCAGTTTGCGTCGACACTAAGTAGATTAAAAGATCGATCGGGCGTTATAACGTGGAAATAAAACATGATGTGGAACAATACGAAACGCGCGTGGAATAATAAAAAAAGATCGAGATATTTCTAGTGGTATAGAAAAAAAGCACTTAAATCGAAACAAAAATAAAACTATCTTTAATTTGCATTTTGCATATCAAAGTTATATATGTTGGACCACATTTTTTAAATAAATATTTGGATGCATATTTCGTTACAAATAAGAGAAGTAATCCCTTTAAAAAAATTGAGTTGCAGTTAGAAATATATATTAATAATTAAAAAAATTTTTGCAATTTTTATATTTAATTTTTTACCTCGTTTCAGGAACTGTCCAAGGATTCACGTAAGCGTAGAGATTGAGCGAAAACAAGACGAGTAATTGTGGTGCATTCAAGTAAATCCATAAACTAGAGGTCTTCATGTAATCTATCCATACCTAGGTATTTGTGTACATATACATACCGGAAAAATTATATAAATACCGATATACACCACGTCATATACGTATATACGCATAACATCTCTTTAGCGCGAACGCGAAACTATATAAATATATATTTACTATATTGAAAAAAAGAGGAAAATGTTAAATGCAGTTCGTTTACTATAAATGAGATCGGCTTCTCTTATGTCCGATTACAGATGAAGACATGTCGTAATTTATTTTGGTCATGTCTCTGAGTTATAATTCTCCATCAAACTTGTATACATATATATAATATAATATAAATTAACTGTGTATTATATTTTCAACTTTCAATAAATGAATTTTCCCAAAATTTTCTCTTTTTATTTCATATAAACTTCAAGTAGGGATATGAGTAATTAAATAAGTCGATCGATTCGATCGCATGTTTACACATTTAAGAGGTCTTATCTATATTATCTATTTCAAAACTGATTTTGAAATATACGAACATAACATACATATGTGTTTAGTCTTCTGGTGAATATAAAAAGATCACGCGAAAAGAAAGACAATAATACATTGTCGCATACATAGAATAAAGAGTGACTGCGTCCATTCTGCGAAATGTACAAGCGCTGACAGTGTGTACAAGTTTATTATAGTAATGGTGGATTAATCGTCAATATTTCTCAAGAAGATTACATTAGTATGGTCGCTGGCGATCCCTGTCTCTGTCACCTCGACTAAAACAAAGTTGAAAATGGACGAGTAACAATCAATATATTCAGGTTTATGTCTGTGTAAAAATACATTCGTCGACGTGAACTCTTTGTGTCCCCCTTCCTCAACATATCGACGAAAAGTAAAAGTTTACGAAGAGTTGAGGATCATGCAAGAATCATGAAGGGTAAAACCTACCCGCTGCCACCCCTCATGGGACCGCCTCGTCCACCACGGCCGCCCCGGTCTCCACCACGGAAACCGCCACCGCCTCTGCCACCTCGGTCACCTCCACGTCCACCTCGATCGTTCCTGAAACCCCCTCTGCTTCCGCGGTCGCCACCTCGGCCACCACCTCCTCTGCCGCCACCGCCACCACCGCCACTGTAACCGCCGAGGCCTTCCGGTTTCGCGCTCTTGCAGAGATTACACTGATCCCGCCACGCGAAATTTGTGTTGCCGCAGTCGGGATTAGGACACCTGTTTCAAGATATTTTTAATTTTGTTACCTCAATCTTCCTCTATCAAGGCACAAGCTTGTTCAATATATAATATGCATACTGATATACGTGTATAGAAACATGTCAATACACACATATATACGTATTTTATATATATATGTAAGTGATGAAAACAGAATGATGTCGGAAATAGAGCTTTAAGAAAGACTTGGTACACGAATACCCAAAGCGCCGTAATCAGACATATTCATTTTCTTGAGTATAATATAATTTTATATTCACCTCCAGTCGCCTCCACGGCCGCCACCATCACGACGATCATCGCCACCGCCTCCGCGATGATGATCATCGCGATCGCCGCCTCCGCCACGGCTGCCAAAACCACCACCTCGACCTCGGCCGCCACCACCACCACCACCACGACCACCGCCCATGCGGTTACCTTGCCAATTGCTTTTGTGCTGGGCCATTTGCACCTTTATTGTACTGCCCTTGAAGTCCTTGCCATCAAACCAGCTAATGGCTGAGCGCGCGGCGTTTTGATCGTCATACGTAACCGTCGCCTCGCCCTTCGACTTTCCTGTGTTCTTGTCTTTGTACATCCAAACTTTTGGCTTGCCTGTGCGTTTGTCATGCTGTAAACATCAAGTTTTCGTTGAACATTTAGATGTGATTTGATCTCATTATCGTTTTCGCATTTAATTCGAAACACTCTTCTTGGCCTTTCATTCGAGATAACATTGCATTGGAGATTAGAGCTTCAAACATAGATTTGTAGTGTAAATATTTACTAATCTACATGGATTGAATTTACGACACAACTCGAAAAAAAAAAAAACAAATTTTCAACAAAAAATGAGTCTGAATGTTTTAAATTATTAAAAGTTTGTAACATTAATTTTGGTAGAGGAATAAAAAATTTTTTTAAAGTATATTTCTTTTTTCTTTCTTTTCGTTCTTTTCCTGTAAATAATTCCAAAATGATCATTTTTGAGCGATATATATATATATGTATATGAAAGAATACATACTTTAATAATGCCAATCGCTCCAAAATGTTGACAAATCTCTTCTTCGGAGATCGATGGATCCATACCGGATACAAAAATAGTATCCTCTTGTGTAACCATTCCGTCGCCGCCACCGCTGTTACGATCACCGTAGCCCCCTGCAATGGATCGAAAGTAATGATTCGTCGCACAGAAGCGTCTAAGATAATTTAAAAAATATTCGCGTATCTACCGACCCTGGAGCTACTATTTCGTTCTACTTTAAAAGATACAAAGAAAGTGTTTCGGCTGCGCGTCTCTTTTTTTGTACTTTTTGGCTTGCTCTGACCGCGCAGGAGCTTGGAAACACTGTCCATATATCTTTTTCGGGTTCATCACTTCAAAGTAAAAATTATAGTCGTATATTCAAAGTTATCGTATTCCCGATGACACAACATTCTTAGTAAGAAACAACGGTCGTTTATTTTCGAGATGTTAGTTACCACACATTTTTTAATAGCCTCTACGATCTTGATTGCAAAGGATTTTCTGCCATTTTTTTTTTTTTTTTTTTTTTAAACACGAGCAGAAGCGGAAAACGGATGACCAGTTTTCATTTGGGTAACGTTCTATTTATTCAGAATTTGAGAGTTTACAAGTAATAAATCGTATATATCAGCAAAAGCAAGAGACATTCTTTTCTCTTTTGTAGGGTATTAAAGGAGGCTTATAAAGTATATTTTAACAACTAAACACGTATACACACATCTACGTATATCCTTATAACGTTATCACCCAGGATATTTAGCATAATTATCGCTACTCGTTATGCATGTTTTTTCACTTCTTTTTTTTCTCACGAGGTCTTAAAAGGAACGCACAATTATATTCAATAATGACAATTTCTCACTTAGGTACCCATTTTTCTGCATAATTTCCGTACTTCGAATTACGTTTGCATTATGCATCGTAATCTCCCTTCGTATCGTGTTATTTATAAAAACGTAATGCATTAGTAGCGGTCTAATATTCCCATTAACACCTAACGATACATATAGAACACAGGGTTGCAGCTGAACATACAAAAGGGCTGCAACATTATTTCTTACCCTTGACATTTAATCACAGAATCGGCAAGTAGCTCACCAGCTGCCTTTTATTTACTCTTCTCGCGCTTTATACGTTTATATGCATTTGAAAATGTATCGACCATATCAAAAATCAATCACGATCATCGTGCAACTATTGTTCTATTCACTAATGTTCACTCGCAATACCCTTTTTTTTTTTACCTTTTAGGAACCTTTCGACCTTTTAAAGGATTTCCCAAAATAGTTTTCCTACTGCACGACGTCATCGAGGACATGCACAGTGCGGAAATCAGTTGGGTAACGACAGTCTTACGGAATGTATAAAAGATCTAATTTTGGCAGACGCACGGAGATGTCCTACTCTTGTAACAAAAAAAAAACAAAAAAAAAAAGAAACAGAAAGTCTTGCTTAACACAATAATACAGGAAAACGACATCCGTGCACCAGATTCATAGGATAAAAAAAGCAATTGGTGATCGTAAACTGCATTTGGTCTTTTTTTTCAATGATACATCTACAGGCAGTACGCGAACGATTTTAGATTTCATTCTCCTCCGTTCTCACTTTCAACGATAAATTCGCCGTGCGAGTGTGAGATTGAGAGACATCGCACGCTATTTACTGCACTATCCTAACAATGTTGCATAGCAGCCCTTTCATATAACACCGAGTAACCGAGTATTTAAGATCGTAAATAGTAGAGTGAAAGCTAGAATATTTAGCACCAGACTAGTACAAACAGTCTGGTGCATTTACCTTTGTTATAACCACCACGGCCACCGCCACTGCTAAAACACAGAAGCAGATATACCAATGAGTTGACTCATGGAGAGACTGTGATCGATCGATCGATGCATGGCGAATCGTATGTATGCCGCTCGCCACCTTTCTTCTTGATTGATGTACCTATTTGTCTAAATGTCTGTACAGTCATACCACATCATGATTTACATTAGACCGTTCGTCTCGCCGTTAAATCACGTCCGTCAGTGTCGTTTAGCATGCAGATTTAGAGAACTTTATACAATGTGAGAAACGACGACAAACGATTATAAATCGAGAGAGATAAATCGGAGTATTTTGATCGATTCGATGTAACACGAGTCTCGAGGAAAAAGACAAATCTCAATAAAAGCATGCCTAATTTCTACTTGAATATATATATATTACACACATATACTTTGTCACTTTTGAAATAAATAAAAAAAAAGGTAAGAGATTACTTGTGATTAAGAACTCTTTGACGGAAAGGAATATCGTTAAGCATTTGCTGCAACTCGCCGTTGATTCCATTGCAGATTGGGACATAGAAATTTGTAAATGCACAGCATAATCGACGTGTTTTACTTTTCAATTTTTGTTCGTGATAGAAAAGAAAAGTATTTCGGAAAATACCTGTTTAAATAATACCAATGCTAGAAGCGACGATATACACACAGTAAAACTATGTATCGCTTGAAGGCAAATAACATATGGAAAAATACAATATACGGTTCCACCTTTTTCTCAAAAACTTGTTTCTTTTTTTTAAATATGGCGTATAATAGCGGTCAGATAAGGCAATATTTCTCTGTAATCTCTTACGACAGACTTTAAATACCATAGTTGCCTAATCATATATAATACACCTAATAATACAACAGTGGCCCCAGTGGCGACATCAATCGCTTTGTAGTCTAATCGACTTAAGACCTTTGCATTTAGCTGCCACATAATCTGTATATGTCGTGTGCATGTATGAATGTGAATGTACGTTATGTGTTTGTTATTTCAGAAGCAGCGAATAGTGTCGACATTACAGCCTTTTTACGTCAATTGTCATATACTGTTTTTTTTTACCTCTTTTTACCTCAGTTATATCTGTCTGTTAAACCTGTAGGCATACTTTAAACACATTAACGCCCGGTCGGGCATAAAACCGATTCGTAATGATTTCAACAAGAGTTTTCCATTTACTGGCGAACTTAAGAACATCATTGCATACCTTTGATTTTGCTTCGGCAAAGAATATTTATTGAATGCGGTGGCTGTTGATTTTAATTTAACACACCGGAGTCCATTGCTCCGGTTATTCGCTTCATTACTCGTATGTATATTATATAAAGATTTAGAAAATGAACTTACTTGTAACCACCGCCGGAGCGATCTCCATAACCGCCACGATCGCTGTATCTACCGCCTCCACCGCCACCTCCGCCTAAAACATATATACGATGAGTATAAAGTACGAATTGTAAAAGAGAAAAAAATTAAGAAAGATTATTTAAAATAATTTAGTTACAGAAGTTTTTAATGTAAATTGGCAGATTATAAAAACTAACTGAGAGGAGGAAGAAATGTAACAAAGAAGAAAAAACAAGATGCAGAAGTCAGAATCTTTAATTATAAAAAGTGGAAAGAAAATATGAACCTCCGCTGTAAGAACTAGAATTGCGATTATATCCTCCACCGCCGCTGTAGCTGCTACCATAATTATTACTGCTGTCTCCACTGCCACCTCCACTGTAGCTGTTTTGACTGCTGTAGCTACCTTGAGGTTGCGACTGATAGTCTTGACCACTGTTGGAACTGTAGCTGTTGTAATTGCTATAGTTGCTACCAGAATTCGGAGGTGGTTGACTGTATTGATTGTAGCTACTCCCGCCAGTCGAAGGTGGTGGATACGATGTATCCTGACCAGTTGCAGGAGGTGGCTGGCTGTATTGATTATATCCTTGCTGTTGATAATTGGAATACTCTGTAAAAATTCAATACAAATATTTTTTTAGCAATCTGAGCTCCTTTGTTAAGTTCTATACTGTAGTAACATTTTATATACTGCTGCATGAAATAAAATTTAATATCAGAGCATTAATGTTTTACGATTTATTCTTTTCAGTTAATTTTTTTGCATTATTAATTTTTTTATGATATAAAAAGGAAAAGAGATAGATAATGACATTTATCAATGTTCTCCTCTAAGAATATAAAAATGACAAGAAAATGAAAAAAAGACGATAGCACAAAATAAAAATAAAGAAATATAAAGATAAGAAAAAATAAAAGTAAGAAATTAATGAACAAATTACAAAGAGAAAGGATAAACTATGCAAGAAGTTCAGAGAGAACAGATCTTTATTAACATAATTATGGAATTAAATAATTATTGGAGGAAAATGCATATACACACACACACGCACGCGCGCGCGCGCGCGTGCG